AGCTTGTCATTGTCATTAGTTGCTTTATTCATCATAGGACTGTCTAGAGACATGATTGACTGTAACACCTAATACTCTTCCTTGAAGAATAAAGGATCAGATCTTGTATGGATTGGATACAGAAAAGCATCCAATCTGGGTATATAAATTTTTTTCACTCAGATTTAAAATGATTAAATCTATAAAAAATACTAACATCTTGCACAATGTTTGTCCTTCAGTTTGTAGCTTTTTACTGATTTCCATATACATATAAAATTAATAAACATTTTCTCTAGGTCTGATCCTATGCAACTTTTTTTCACAGAAAAAAGTCTTCTATTTTCTTTTTGTCCTATATAACTTGATAAAGAGCACCTTATTTACTGAGATTCTGGAATTTGATATTCTGGTCCTACCTAGAAGACTCAACTTTAATATATTGTTTAAAGGGGTGACATAGTATACAGCAAGACACAAAACATGTCTTCTAAAAGATGCACCTTTCTTAGTGGCTGCTTACCTAACACGGCACTTACGGGCTGCGGATCTTCCAAGCATGAGGCAAGGGCACAAACTCATCGAGTCGCCAATAGTAGCCACTACTTATTGGGTGATTTTGACGGCTCATGGACTGCTCTGAGTTCTGTAAATGGCAATCCTAAAAAAACAAATGGCCTACTGAACTATAAATCTAAAGGTCTTTCTAGGGCATTCTCTGTCAACAGTTCTGGCCACCTTTTAGCACTCTTCTATCTTGAGCCTTCTTCGTACTGCTATTTTACAGCTCTGGAGGGCTTGTCTATGTCTTGACCTCGTCTAGACTTGTGGAGGGCTCTCTAAACTCTTCCTCCAACATCTAACTCCTCAGCAGTTCCTGGTAAGCCTGGTTTTACTCCTCAGCTTAGATTTGCTAAATGTTCCAGCTCTGGTGCCTTATTAATGTGATGATTCTAAGGTACTTTGATATCCAATCAAGTTTCCTTTCCTGCTTTATGCATTAAGTCATTCAATTTTTTTTACTTTTCATAATCTCTATTATTAAACCAATCAGCAAATTTGACTGACTTTTTTGGTAGTTTCTTATACAGTACCTGTTCTTCCATTTACTGATATAGCTCTAGCTCTCATCACCTCATCCCCTGACTGGCTCTCATCCTGAGAAAACACAAGCACCCTGAAACTGTTTTGATATGCCTCTTTTTTGAAGTAAAAATCCCAGGCACATTAGAAATTCTAATAATGTTCCCTGAACTCTGCTTCCAGGCCCAAGTAACATTACTTTACCCCACAGGATCAAGTGATTCTGTTCAACCTTAATTCCTTATGTTAATAAAAAAGGCAATAACAGAGCTCTTCAGCATTGTTCTACCATTTCCTGCTACTGGTACGGATAATATCAACATTTGTTCATCTGCTATTCATTTGATAATCCAGTGTGTTCATAATTAATTTGTATATTTCTATGTTTTTACAGAAAATTTCTGTTCAAACCCAACTGTTTATTTACTAATTGTTAACCATTGCAGTTTTCATGTGTCCACAAATAGTCAAACCTTAGAGCTGCTCCAATTCCAATCCCAAATCCACCTCTTCAATAAGGCTACCCATTCTCAGTGTGGAATGATCTATATTACTACAAGACAGAAATTTTCAGTGGCATTAATTTCATAATTTACAATGAAATAATCTGGTTATTCTCTTATTCTGTGGCAGCTGTTTCCTTTCTTGTATTATTTTAAATACACTTTTCTGTTGTTTTCCAAACTAGACTATAAATTTCTTAAAGGCAAGAACCTTGCCTTTAAAATCTCAGCTTTCTTACATGACTTTTCAATACAATATTTTAAGTATAACAGAGGTCCAAGTTTTGCATTTTATTTGTAGGACTTAATGTTTCTGTGAAATAACATAATTATTTCTAAAGGAATTGTTCATGGAACTCAGAAGACAAAATCAATTTTGGATGAACTTGGAAGTTGTATGACAAAAATTCTAATTATACTTAAAAATAATTTACTGAGCAATACATGGTTTCTTTCCTGCCACTGTTGACTACTGGTCTTTTGTAATTTACCTTTTCACTATTAAATTAATCACATAAGATAACAGGGAAAATGGGAAATAAGATGACTGATTATTTTGATGTATTTGTTTATCCTTTTTTTTTTTGGTACCTGGGATCGATCTCAGGTCCTTGCGCTCGTGAGGCAGGTGGCAGAACCACTGAGCTAAATCCCAGGCCCCTTTTTATCCTTTTTAAAGTAGGAGATTTACATGATAAATGAGTTGGGAGTCATTTAAACGCTCTTCTTTGGTAGGGGGCTTCTCCTTTCACCCTGTATCATTTATTCATGCATGTGTTTTCTTTAATAACTAAATGATAAATTTCTGAAATTGTGCTGACTTCCTGTTTTGGTTCTAAAAGAGTGGGTGGAGTGGAAAATGGAGGGCAGAATGTAATTCACAGATGTAATCAAATGTATATTTTTCATAGAAAAATGCATATTTTGAATACATTAATATTCATAACCTTATTTAATACCATCTGCTTTTTTTCCACTCAACAGTCTTTTTTTTTTATTTTTTGGAAACACCCAACTAAAAACACATGGACTTTAAAAAAGGCACTGTGGATAGATATTAGACGTTTACTGATAAAGTATGTAAGATTCTTAATAAGAGAGGAGAAACATTTATGTTTCTTAATTTGATTGTGTTCTACATTCTGCATATCTTAAAAATTTCAATTGTAAATATCTACATTTATAGTTAACAATTCTTTTTTTTTTTTTTGGTACCAGGGATCGACCTCGGGTCCTTGTGCTTGTGCAGCAGGCGGCGAAACCACTGAGCTGAATCCCCGGCCCAACAGTTCTTGATATAAAACATATTAAACAAAACATGCAACTTCATTCTCATTTATTTATATTTTTGTGGTACTGGAGATTGAGTCCAGGGTCCTGCACCTGCTAGGAAAGTGCTATTCCACTTGGCTATAGCTACAATCTGTTTTACTTCATTTTGAGACAGGGTCTCACTAAGTTGCCCAGGCTAGCCTAGAAATTGCAATTCTCTTGCCTCAGCCTCCAGAGTCCCTGGTGTGTATCTCCATGCTTAGTATTTCAGTATATGTGCTGCCAAAGTAAGTACAATGCTTGGCTATTTTATTTGTGGGATGGTGATGTCTCACTGTATTGCCCAGACTGGTCCTAAACTCATGAACTGAAGCGATCCTCCTACCTCAGCCTCCTGAATAGCTGAGATTACAGATGTGGTCCACCACAGTCAATTTAAAACACAAAACTTTAATTGGAGGTTCTTAAGCAAGAATTAGGAGAGATCAGGGACGTCTGTAAAATCCTAGAGAATTATATATGCTTTTTTTCCTAGAGAGATGCAAATGTATCCACTTTTAATCCAGGTAACCGAATTACTCAGCAAATTTCAAAAAATAATTCCATGAATTTTAGCATCTGAATACTTATTTATTTATTTATTTATTTATGGTACTGGGGATCAAACTCAGATCTTTGCACTTGTGCAGCAGGTGCTGAAACCACTGAGCTAAATCCCCGGCAAATCAAAGTGTGTGTATTTTTTTTCCCTGGTGCCGGGGATGGAACTCAGGTCCTTGTGCCTTCGAAGCAGGTGGCAGAACCACTGAGCTAAATCCCCGGGCCTGAATACTTTTTTAAAAACTACAAATTAGGCATTAGAAACTTAGATAAAATTAACGTAACAGTCAATGTAATAAAGCTAAAAATATAGCATAACACAGAGATTCCTGTTGAAATTTCCACTGTATGACACTGTCAAATCTCCTGTTTCAGTTGTCTTAGAACACTTCCCCAAGGCAATGAACAATATGTTAATTTAGTCAACCAAGCAGCAACAATAAAAACAAGTAAATTCAATGAAAAAATTTAAACTACACTTTCTTATGCTCTTGTGATAAGCCTGTCACTGTGTTTTACTCAAGTTGTGTTACACCATTTGTGAGATGAATATTATTGTCGTCAACATATTATCAATCAGGAAGCTGGGTCTGTGGAGATGATGTCACATCATCATTTCAAGGAACAGGCAGAGAGAGGTTTGTTGGCAGGATGAAGGAACAACAAAATGGGAATGAGCTTCGACATGTTTTAGGTTGTGGTCATCTACTACCTAATATCTTCTCATCTAACATAAAAATTCTTTTAATAATTACCCTGACAAAGGATGAAAGGAGTCATATGTGTTTTGAAGTCCCTTATCAAAGTGAACTTGAGTAACTGTGTAGAATCTTACAAAAAAGAGAAAATCACAATAGATGTCTTTTTTTGAATTAAGACTGAAATAAAAGTATTTTTTAAAATATTAAAGTTTAAGAGTTCAGGTTAACTCCTTCAATTCTATTTGTTGTATATTCTGGACATACAGGTTGAATATCCATCATGTGACAATCTGTTATTTTCCAAAATCTGAAGCTTTCTGAACACTAACATAATGCCACAAGTCAAAAATTTCATACCTGACGTTGTGTGATGGGTCACAGTCAAAATCCAGGTACACTAAAAATACTGAATAAAATTACCTTCAAGCTAGGTGTATGAGGTTTGTATGAAACACAGATAAATTTTGTGTTTAGATTAGGGCCTCATATCCTAAGATGTAATTACACATACACAAATACAAAAAATCCAAAATCTGAAACATTTCTGGTCTCTAGCAACTTGAGATAAGGGATATTCAAAATTTACACGAAAAATTCATTATAATTACTTTTGGTATTCTTTAGAAAAGCCTCAGTAGGCTTTCTTATTTTATATGTTATTCTTACAAAGATTAAATACAAATTATTTTTAAAACATACAGGCTATAAATCCTCTTCATTTATTAAGGAATGGACCACATGTACGATACTAGAACTGGCATCTTTGAAATCTAAAACCATTCTAAAAACATTTAAGTTATTTGCTAGATGGGTAATATCATGTCAGAAAAGAGCAGAATTTGAGAGACAAAAATAATCTTACCAAAGTCTGCAAATGCTGACTGTCCAACCACCAGCATATTTTGAGGTTTTTCTAATGTGCTATTGACAGAGAAGTTTCCATCCTGTTAAAATCAAAAAATGTTGAATTAGACCATCATAAGCTACTCATTTGTCAAGTGTGAAACAAAGTATTTTTTAATGAAGCACGGAAATAAATAGTTGAAGCCTTTGTTGTACTGCAATAAAATCATTCTAATTTCCTGTACATTATTATTATGAAACAAAAGAAACCACTGCAAGGTTAAGAAAATATGATTTTGGAAAACAGCTGTGCAGGCACACAGGCCACAGCCAGAACCGTGAGAGGATAATAAGACCCTGGGTGCACAGGCTCCAGCCTAAGGCCCGTCTAGAAAACAGTTGCATAGGTGCACATGCCACAGCCAGAGGGCAGCCCCGATACCACTGGTAAGTTCATAAAGACCCCAGCCAGAAGCCCACTCAAACACCAGAGACTCAGGTGCACAGCCCTCAGCCAAAGGCCCTCCCAGACAACAGCTATGCAGGTGGCCAGATACCATCCTAAGGGTGCCCAGGCGCCAGCCAGAACCCCGCCCAGACAATAGGGCAGGGCAGGGGTCCAGAAGGCCACCATTCTGCACCCAGAATTGGTGAAGTGGTGAGCATCAGAGAGTGGCCTTTCTGAGGTTGCTGAGAACTGAAACCCACTGGACGAGCAGAGAGCCACTTCAACAAAGGCACAACAGACTGCAACTGTTGAAATGGGAAGACACGTAAACAAGAATCAAAACCAAACTTCCAGATCACCTAAGGTAACCCCAAGGGACCACAAGATGGAACAACGTGATATTCAACTAGCTGGACTCTCTGAACTGCCAATGAAAGAGTATCTGGAAAAAATGAAATCAGAAATAATTTCTCAGATAAGAGAGATTGTGTCCATAATGAAAGACATGATTAATAACTCTAAACCAGACACAGAAAAAAAAAATAGAGGAGCTGAGGAACATGATGGAATCTCAGCATAGGAAGCAAATGGAATCCATTAAACAGATGCAAACATATATCCAGCAGATTAAAAACTCCACTGAAAGTTTATGTAGCAGAATGGGCCAATGTGAGGACAGAATGTCAGATATAAAAGACAGGATGGTGATTAATGACCAGGAAAAGAAAGATTACTTAAAAATACCAAGGGACCATGAGAAATCAATCTAGCAGTTGCTAGATGATGCAAAGAAGAATAACATAAGAGTGATCGGAGTCAATGAAGAAACAGGAGACAGTGCAAATGACATTAAATAAAACCTACTCACAGAAGTAATGGTAGAAAACTTTCCAAGCAGGGGAAAAGTATTTCACATACAGATAAGAGAAGAACATAGGACTCCAACTAGCCATCATCAAAAAAAATCTACATCTAGGCATAATAGTTAAATATCGAATAGTTTCTATGGTGTGAGAAACTGAAAGTGTAAATAAGGATCAAAATGTACAACAGATAATGTGAAATAGGAAGAAAAGGGGAAAGGGAAGTGGGAGGGATAGGGTAAAGGAAAGAAGGGAAAGAAATATATATGAGAAAAGGAAAAAATGGAAAGAAAGACTTTGTAAATAGGGAGCCTTGGAGGTGTTAAAGGGAGGGTGGGGAACTCGGGACCTTGGGCTTGTGAGGCAGGCAGCGGAACCACTGAGCTAAATCCCCGGCCCAGAATGAAGATATATTATGTAAAGGTATAAATTCCCAATAATGAACATCAGCATAGTGTACACCTAAAATGTACCAATAAAATTAATGAATTAAAAAAAGATTAAAAAAAAGAAAATATGATTTTGGAGTGCTTTCTTTGCTATCAAATCTGATATACTATCCTCTACCAAACCATCGTCATAATTTCAGTTATAAGAAGTGTATTCTAATTTCAAGTAAAATGGAAGTCTCTGAAAATACAAAGAAGTATAAAAATTAGTTCATATCTTTGAAGGGTTTTAGTCCAGTTGGGAGATAAGATATAAATCAGAAAGGCAATTTCTGCAGGTAACATAAATTGCACGCCTAAGTAGCAAAAATGCCATGTCTTATACATTTCAAGGAGAGAAGATTCTGTTGGGGAGAACTGGGAAAAGATAATCAGGTGAGAGGAGAATTCTAATGGCCCTTAGGGACCAATGAATTCATGCACATCATCAATGAGCTTATCTACCAATGAAAAGGGGAGCAAAATATCACAACAGCTGCCATGTACAACAGGAAAGGAGAATCTATTACAGATATTTGTCTTTGAAACTCTACAAAATCAGAGTATACATAATTGACTTCCAAAAATAAAAAATCTTTCTTATGTCCTTTCGTTTCTGTAATTTTAATTACTACATAAAAAAACCCTGAGTTTGCAATTTTGAGCTCTCTGTTTTATAATGAGCTCTCTTATTTCTGACATCTCTATTCACTCTTTGATATACTGACTCTGCTTACCATATACTTTATATAGGGTGGTTATACACTTGGATGTTTTTCCTTCTTTTTTCCTCTAAGGATACTGTAAATCGGTAACACAGCTCCTTAAGAAACAATTTTTGACCTTTATAGAGAATGGAAATGCTACAATGACAGCCGATGTTTGAGGACCATGAGTAGGTAGTAAGATTCGTCTTATGAGAGGTATTTTTGAACCATTCATTCCATTATCTACACATAGAAACATGTTTCTCTTAATGTTATTAAAGTATCTGATGTATTTTTAAAAGACTTTTCTATAGACATCTTATTTACATAAGTATATTAAGGGTTCCCTGACAGTTTTCCTAAAACCTGAATTGCTATTAAAAAAAAAGTCCAAGAATTGTTTACTGAGTGGATATAATGTTCCTTAAAAGAATGGAAAAATCTCTCTTAAGACACATCAGCCTTGTATGAGATGAAACTGAATATTAACCCAATATACTGATTCAGTGAATGGATTACCCCACTGGAGATCTGGAAAATTCAGTGAGAACATCTTCTAAATGTAACCTCACAAAACATTTCCATCAAGAAAAACTGACAGGTAATAGCTTCCCATGTCTAACACACCACATTCACAATGTGCATCAATATAAGAGGAATACTTTCTTCTAATTAAGGCAGAAAGAGAACATATTCTTGCCAAAAGGAATGTAGACAGAACACATTATATATATGATACAGCTGGGGAAAAGACAATATTTAGATGAATTTACTATCATTACCATTATTTATTCTTTACTCCATTTGGCAGTATAGATTTACATGACTTTCATTAAAAATAGTGCCATTACATGTTGTTTGATGAAAATAATTTAACAAAATGTTTCATCCACATTGCTAGTATTATCATTGGACAACACATTTTAATGTGGAACATCCCTCCTCTTCAAGTTGAACCTCTTACCTATTTAATATAGGAAGATAAACATGAGATCAATGTTCTTTTTCATCCTGACTCTAAACTGAGCGGGAATACTCTGGTACAAAGAGCACCAGTCTTGGGCTCACTGTAACATGGGTTACAGTGCTGCTTTCCATATAAATGGCTTCACTGGTTTCACTTTGGGATAGTCATTTACTACTTGGTTTTGGTTATTCACTGTTAGAAGGAGATACATGTACTCACAGGGTTCTGGAGAAGATCAGGTGGAATGATAGGTAACAGTGTTCTGCATAATCAGGTACTGGGAAGGTATCTTTACAATGACAGTCTTGTGCTTTTAGTCCCCAAGTAGTTTTTTTCTGAACTCATCTATTCCATTGTGTGCCTATTCTTTATTATGGTGATCCTACTAGACTTAACTGCTTTCCTGCATTCCAAATAGGACCATACGGGTTTCTGCTGCCGCTGTGTTCTGTTATTTTATTTTGTCTATTTGTTTCCTAGAATTATTGTACAATGACTTCAGGGTAGAAGTTTTAGAGATTTGCTAGTTCAACTCTCAACTCCACCATTTTCTAGCTCTAAAGCCTGAAAAAGTTACTTTGTATACAACAGTTGACTTAACTTTAAAATACACTTTTACAAGTTATTTTTCTTTGTGTGTGTGATTAATGAGATAATACACATACAGTGCCTAGCACATAGTAATGTATTCAGTTAATATTAAGTACCATTAGTAGTAGGAACATTAGTAGTAATATTTGTCAAAAATACTACCACCACTGAAGCGGTTGAGCCACGGTAGTTGATAAGGGGAACTGACTGGATTTTCTGCTTGAATTCCAACCATAAGTGCTACATTGCACCAAGTACCTTTTCATGGATGAATGTCAACGCTTTGGCATGAATATTTTAATATTTAATGTTAAAACTGCCATATCCATAATGTTAAAAAGTGATCAGGAAGAAATATGTAATAACTATTGTACATATCTTTATTCATGTAATGCAGTGGTTCCAAACTGAGGTGATTTTATCTGCTAGGGAACATTTGACAATGTCTGTACACATTTTTGACTGCCACAACTGGGGGTGGGAAGGGTACTAGCATCTAGTAAATAGAGGCCAGGGATACCACTACAATACACAGGATAGCGCTCTACAACACAATGGCAATAGTGTCAAAGTTGATACTGACCACTCTTAACTCTTTTCTAATGACACTTACCTTTGTTCTTAAGTTCCAGTTCTACATTTCTAACTATTTTGTCAATATACCTCTATTTGAAATTTTTTCCCCACTCCAAATGAATTATATTTTTTCTTTCTGTCATATGGTCATTCTGTCCCCTCCTATCTAACCTTTCCTGTCAATGGCTCACCTCTTTCTCAGGGTACAGTGAATTCCACCTATGTCACTTCCTCACCTCCAGATATTCCATGTTATTCTATCTAATATACAGCAGCCAGATTAAGTGCAACAATGAAAGCTGCATTCATTCCACTCTCAGTCCTAGAACATTTAATAATTTCTGAATAGATTTTTAAAAGATCAAATTACTTGGTTTAGAAATCAAGGCCTTTGGTGCTATTGTCTAAACCAATTCTTCTAAACTTAACTTCCAATATCTCTTTCATATTCTGGCCCAAATCAGGCACTTTGAACTATGAGTATATTCTGGGTTTCCTATGTACTTCCTTGTCTGTCTCTTCTTTTTTTCTCAATTCAAATCATTAAAATCCTATTCATCTGTACTAGCCATTTCAAATGTCTTATCTTTCTTGAAGCCTTCACTGATAATCCTAGGTGGACCAGAAAAGCAAATGCTCTCTATCTTTCAAATTCTGTAGCACAAGGTTTGTACCTCTTGTCATACCAGCCAGAGTCATGAACATTCAGAACACAGTCCTCCTCCCGGCCTATAAGCTCTATTCACATCTGTATCTTCCAGGGCAACATCACAGGGAATTGTGTACACACTGATTCTCTAAAAAAGATCTTTCTTTTTTTTCAGTGCTGGGGATCAAACCCAGGGCCTTGTGCATGCTAGGCAAATATTCTACAATTAGCTATATCCTTAACCCTTAAAAAAAGATTTTATGCAGTTCTTATTTTTCTACTAGCTAATATGGTATGGGTTTTGAAGTTTTTTGGGCCAATTTTGTGTTACTATAAAGTGCTTGACTAATTTCTCATTGAAAATGATCATCCATTTTACGAATGTACTTTATCTGAACTGGTTAATTTTGAATCTACATACTCCTTAATTTGTACTAAAGACTTGACTTAATATGGATACTGACATAGATCCTCTCCTTAACCAAACTCTCTCTCCTTAGGCTCCTTTGAGACCTGTACTAGACTAAGCCCAAACTGGGCTCAATTTCCATCCTTGTATAGTTCAGTTGTAGGGAAAATCCTGTGGAGTCAGTTGTCAGAATCTCCCAGTTAATATCTACTCATTCTGACCTGTCTATACCTAAACTCCTGTTATATGAGTTTAGCAAAGAATAATTCTACTACTTTAGTAATTTAAATTCACTGACCTTCACCCTGCTCCTGGCTATAAAGTCTCACTTTCCTTTGTCATATTTATAGTTGAGCTCAATGTTTCCCTCCTACTGTAAAATAGCAGCCCTCTTGAATAAAACATGCCGTAACCATGTTTAACAACTATCTGAATAATTTTTTTCTTTAATGGTTACTCACTGATGCAGTGGCTTTATTGCCAAGAACAAGTCTTAGTACCTATTATCTAACAGCCAATTTAATAATATTCTCTAAAGAAAATTATATTCAAAGGGAAAAGATCCCAATCAAATTTTATTCTCTTTATGAAAATTTTTTTCCCTATTGAGTTGCTTCACTTGATTACCTTTAAAAACAGACCCTGGTGAGAGGACATCATATACTTAAAAGTATTTCACAATTTTATATACACATTCTACTTATTTGTATTGAGGCTCTCCTCCCCTCAGCCACAAAATAATCAAGTAGATCTCTTATATTTCTAATACCTCAAGATTCATCTGAGGTAGGAATGAAAGGCCATCCATGAGCAAGTATCCTTGGCAATGGGAGTTTTAATGTATAATTACCATAAGGAATGTAATGACCATATTTCTAATAATCAGAAACATAAATATAGTAACATTTAAACATTTAAACAAAGAAGTTTTTTTGGTTTAAGCTTCCTACTTTTCCTTTTTTCATGGTAAAAATGATCACTTCGCTTAGTTTAGAAGCAGTTAGAAGCTCTGATCTTGTCTAATCAAACCCCTTCTCCTATCCATGAAATGTGAGTCATAACCAATGCCAATGATTATGCTATAAGAAATGGCTAATAATTAATCTCCTTCCATAAGTTTTTGCTTTATATTTGTTAGAACTGATTGTTTTTCAAAAGCATTCTCATAAAATTCATAAAAGGTTATGGGCTTAATTTGGATGAAATAAAAGATAATCAGGAGTAACTAGGTAGGAAGTCAAAAGATCTAAAACTAAAATTTGTTAAGTGTCTACTGTGTGCCAAGGTATTTTAAACATATCGTTTGTGAAGTTTCACTATCATTCTGTGAAGTAGATTCTTATATCCATTTTCCATGTGAGGAAACTTAAGTTTCAGGCTTGACCAATAAGTGATAAATGTCACTAAGTTGACCCATTTTTTTTACTGGCTTCAAATCCTGTCTTTTTATTATACAGCTTGAAATCCAACTTCAAGATTTCAAATGGTTTACTGTTCATTAATTAATCTTTAATCAGCTAAAAATAAAATCATGAAATCAGTCTAGTTTTCTGTTAACAATTTCCAAAAAACCTAGTGGGAGAGAATCCTTAATCCTAGTCAACTTGGCACTAAGTTTAGTGTATGTTCTTATTTCTTCATATAAGCCTGAAGGCAAAGAGGAAAAATTAGTCTTTTAAAAAGCGTTTTCTTCATAAACCATCATGCTGACAAATTAAATGACAGTAACCTCTCTCAACAGCTGACAGCCTAGCAGGGGTCCTGTTAACATGCACATTAAGGCAGACTGATTGGTTTAATTGGCAGTCATGCCTAAAATCCTGCAGAGGAACTGATGCTGAATGAATCATTTCCTTCAGTAACATTCAGCAGTTTGAATGCAGCAATGCAATCCAAGGCTCTTAAAGTTGTTCTATTTATTGTTGAAACCAACCAACCAAGTGATTACTTTAATTTTATTTTCTAAATTGTATACCTTTACTGAAAGCCATCATTTAAAAATGTTTCAAAGAAAAGATTTCTTACCGAATTTTCCCATATTTCAAACTGGAAGGTACTAGAGGAAGACAATGTAGTGAGGAATAAATCTAGAAGGAAAATAAAAGAAATGTAAATTTTTGTAGTCATACCGATGTGTATTTTTAAAAACAGAAAAAAACTGCAACATATAAAAGTATTAATACAATTCTACCAAAATATATTTAAAATTATATTTTAACAAGTTTGATGTTATCAGTAATGAAAACAAGAAGAAAAAAAAGAGAACGTAGATGTCCCTATGTTAATATAATTAAGAAAAATTATTTATAGGGCATGTTTAGTATTAATCCTTCAAAAACATTATTTTAAGAACTGTTTATATTATTCATTATATAATTTTAAATAATTTTATTCTAACTTAAAAGCTTCAGCAATATTTAAAATCACCACATTTCAGCATCTAAAACCTTTAGCAGTCATGTTACATGAGCAAAAAATTATGTTTCAAGTTTTAAGAAACTGAAGAACTGCCTTTGTAATTTCAAATAACAAAGTTCCTTTTATTGGAAAGTACAAGAATTTTACTATTTCAATTTTTTCTTAATTTTTGTGGTTCCTATGTGCTTGGAAATAGTACATGTTCAAGTGATTTACTGAATAAAGGGGACAATATTACATCATATTGTGAGGTTATACAAATTTGCTTGGACATTTAAAAATAATCATGCTATTGCATCTTTAAACAGAAAGTCTTGGGAAAAGGAGGATCTGTGTTAAAGTATTTTATCCAAAATAAGTATAAATGAACATAGGGACCAGCATAGTAAGAATGTTTAAAAGGTAATCAGCATAAGTGATAAAGGATTAATAACTACAGAGATTTCTGAGCTTCACTAAAAAAAGGCATGTCAGTGTAAACTCTGAACTATTTGAAATAGTAAAACCCAACATAAGAACATTAGTCCTACTTGTTCAAACTGAATACATCAAGCTGGTGAAACTCTTAAACCAATGAAGAATAAATTCAGTGGCCTCTTTCCAACAAGGGAGCAAAGGATCAGTACCTTGATGAGGCAGCAGGCAGCATGAGATTAGAACTACTCCATTACCATGTATCTCTAAACTGAGGTAGCTATAAGAATTATTCTATTACTATGTAGCCTAAACTGAGGTAGTTATAAGAACTTCTCCATTCTCATGAATGCCTAAGCTGAGATGGTTGCAAGGGACAGTAGGTGACTACCAGCAATCTATTACCATTCCTAGAAAAACAATTCAAATTTTTTTTCTACTGGTGTTGTATTAGTTTTAGTATATATATTTGAATTATGAGCTTCCTCTTGTTTCATGGATATTTAGAAAATCTGAAACTATAATACCAAGTGCTGATTCTATTTTCATAGTTTCAATAGCTATTTATTAAACCATAAATAGCACTAAAGCTAAATGAGAGATTGGAAGTATCTTGTAAAGAGGATTTTAAAAAAATCTTTCACTATTCAATTATGTAAAGAGATTACAGAAAGATGAATGATTCATTACACAGAGAAATAAAAATAGAGATGATTAATAATTAACAATTCAATATGGAGAATCATGCTTCAGACTTTGAATGAAATGAGAATGAAAGAACTGTGAGAAAAATTTTAGTCAACCCAATAATAATGTCTCACCTTCCCACATGGCTAAGAGTAATTTGTACTACACAATTAAAGGAAATGTAGACAACTATAATGAATGCTGTGACATCCCACCCAGATCATCTCTTAGTAGTGAATGATTTATTTGCGCAGCTGCTGAAAATACTGCAAGTAGATACCTTCACTAATCTTTGGGGAAGCTGCTGGGGAGCCCATATCCAATAATTCGTCAATTCAGAGGGAATAGGGTAGGTCCAAACAAAACTGAGGACAACTCTGGAGGGCATTCTAGTTTCAGAGCTCCTCACAGGCAGCTGAGGTTTTTATTGATAACTGAATCAAAGTCCAACTCTGCTTACTTTTCTGCTCTTCCACTGGTATTGACTATAAGAACACTCCCTAAAATGACATTTCCTGGACATGAATCTTAATCTCAGAGTCTGCTTCTGAGGGAACTCAACAGCTGATAGTAAAACTGAGCTAAGAAATAGGAGACACTAAGATGAGATTTTGGAGCTGGATCACCACAGGGCTGGCAGTTAGGATTCCTCCACTGGGGGAAAGCTGAACATGGACAGTCTAACTCATAGCACTGCCTTTACTAATGCAGTCTTGGGTGGGAGGGAATGGACTAGTGTGTGTCATATTTCAAACTTTTTGAGAAATATGGAGTAAAGAATATAAGGACACTGGAATTAAATGACCATTGCTATGCTCATTGAGGAAACAAAGTCACAAAGGCCAAGAATGACTGATTAGAAATGAAAAGCTAAGTATGGTGGACTACAAGATGGCCAAACAGAAGTGCCTGATATTCAGCTCTTTGAAGGGATGGATCAAAACAACAAATGAATGCTGCTTTTAAAGGTGACTGCCTGAGGGAGATCACTGGTTCCCAGAAAGGAAGCCACAGGAATCCTGTAAGATGGGGAGACCTGGGATGGCAGCAAGAAGAGAGGAATAAAAGAGGACTACTCATTGTGGGGGAAAGAGTAAATGGGAGAAGTCCATCAGATCTCATGACTGAGGACACCAACAATCCTAGCTATGAGAGTTCCACATTATCACAGGCTTGAAGAGAAAGCCTTCTACTATGAAAGCCACTACACAGAATTGGTAAAGATAACTTATTTGACAGATGGATAAATATCACTGAAGGGAAACAAGTATAAAAAAAGCAAGGTAACATGCTGCCTCTAAAGGAACACAATATCCTCCTAGCAACTGACCCCAAAGAAAAGGTTATTGATGAAATAGCTGATAAAGAATTCAAAATACAGGTAATGAGACTAAGGAGACTCAATGAACTATAATAGTATATAGAGTGTTTCATAAAGTTAGAGCAATTCATGATTTGAATGAAAAATTCAGCAAAGTGATAGAGATTATGAAAAAGAATAGAATTGAGTAACTCAATAAGTCAAACAAAAATACAGTTGAGAGTCTCAACAACAGACTACATAAAGCAGTGGAAAAAACTTTCGAATGTCATGGCTGGTCCTCTGAAATATCCTAGTCAGGTTATATCATCAGGATGGCAGACTAGAGGTAACTAGTATGCTTCCCTCCATAACAAAGGACCAAAATAAGACAAAACAACTACTATTTTACTTAGGTGTTTAAGGTAAAGCATTGGAGAGAAATGAGGATGTGTAGATATGTTACAGAACACAGAGATACACAATGAACTTAAAAGAAGAGAACTAAGTGTATAGCAACTACCATTTCATCTTTTGAGATCAACTCTTAACCAAGGGGAACGCCGCAAGGGAATGGCTAAGCCACAGAGATACCTGAAAACATTGCCAAGGGTGATAATGGCTGAAGATGCTACATGGACACTATAGCAAAGCACTGACATGAAATTAAGGCCAACGTAGCACATCCAGCCAACACCCTAGGACACAATGGCTTTCTACCCAAGTATTTCATTATTAAAGCCACCCTTAAAATTTTGTGAAGGTGGACCTGGGATGTAGCTCAGTGGCACCACACCTGCCTGGCAAGCACAAGTTTCTGAGTTTGATCCCCGGTACTGGAAAAAAAATTTTTGTGAAAGTAACTGACACAAGAGGCACGAGGCAAGAAGGTAACAGGATGCCTCTAAAGGAACAACTCCCTAGCAAAAGACTAAAAAGAAAAGGAGATCAATCAATTACCTGACAAATCAAAAGATCAATCTCTGGAATAACACAATCAGATGAAAAAATTACAAAAATTAAAGTTTTTGAGACTTATGGGTTACCATTAAGCTAGGAAACATTTGTTTTAGCTATTCATGTTCCAGAAAGAGAAGAGACAAAAACCATGAAAACCTATTCAACAAAATAATTGTTGAAAACTTTCCAAATTGTGGGAAAAATATGGACATCCAAGTCCAAAAGACCTTAAACCCATCAAAAAAGTCCTCTCGGGGCTGGGGATTTAGCTCAGTGGTTCTGCCGCCTGCCTCACAAGCAGGAGGTCCCAAGTTTGATCCCTGGGTACCAAAAAAAAAAAAAAGAAGTTATGAAGGAATTTTAAAATATGACCTAGCCCGGGATTTAGCTCAGTGGTTCTGCC